CGGACTCAGGAGGCACCGGTCGCCCATGACTCTTTTTTACTAAAAACTCAAAAAGATCACAAAAGATCAGAATGTTTTAACACTTTGGGCGCCTATACACCAGCACAGAGGCTGCTCTGACCCACTGGAATTCCAGTGCATCGAAACAGACTCAATTAACGGAGTCAATTGCCATGCTCCAGCAGCCTCCTGCTTCTCGTGTATCAGCATCCCCATGCTTAAAAATGGCAGTGGGGGGGCACGTGAACTAAAGTTCATCGAACAAGCTTTAGTTCAAGAACCCCCACTACCCTTTTCAAGTGCAGAGACACTGATACAGGAGACACAGTGGCGCTTTACTTGGAGCGGCTTTGAGAGCCACCCTAATTAAAGAGCCACCCTTGGAGCACATGTAAAAGTACCCTATGTGTTCCTATTTGAGATCTCTGGGTTTATCTTGTGAATCATATTTGCACACCCAACAGAGCTGATGCTATCTGTTACACTGTGGCATCCTTGAAAAGATTTCAAGGCACCCTGGTTGAGAATCACCGATTTAGACCTGTAAAACAACAGGCTTGGCTTTCAAAACTGATGAGCAGTTAGAAGCTCCTGATGTAGTTAATGGAAGTAATGTTAAAAATCAGGCCATTTATTAGGTGCCTAAATGTAGATTTAGGAAAGTTATTGTAGGTCCCACTGTCCCCTATTTAGGAAAAATATTTGGCTCCTAAGCCTGGTGTTCATATTTCTGGCTCATCTCTTTACCAATACGGCCATCCTTAGATTTTTTTTCTTGTAACTCCCATTGCCATAGAATCATAGAAAGTTAGGGCTGGAAGGGACCTCAGGAGGTCATCTAGTCCAACCCCTGCCCCAAGCAGGAGCACCCCAACTAGATCATCCCAGTCAAGGCTTTGTCTACTCGGGTCTTAAGGGGGAGATTTCACAGCCTTTCTGGGTAAGCCGTTCCAGTGATTTACTACTCTCCTAGTGAGAAAGTTAGTTAGATCTAACATAAACTTCCCTTGCTGCAACTGGAGACCGTTGCTCCTTGTTCTGTCATCTGCCACCACTGAGAACAGCCCAGCTACATCCCCTTTGTAACCACCCTTCAGGCAGTTGAAGGCCATGGCATCTAAATACTGGTCTTTCCACGCTCGTTTAAGTTCTTACCTCCACCTTTATAGAGGGGTATTGGAATGCAAGCGTTAGCTCATCAGAAACCTTTTCACCCGTTTCCTGAACCTCAGCAATAATATTAACTTTGATGAGAAGTTCATCCTCCACAGATGCCAGTGTCTTTATGTAAGTATCAGCTGCCACATTCAGAGGGATCTCAATCGCTGGCCAAACACAAGAAAAAAATCAAATAAAAGTCACCGTTAACACCGTTTCTTTATTAGAAAGCAACAAAAGAGTGGAGCAGAAAATCAGTTCTGGTGTCTACTCTATATATCATTAACTGCATGTGCTGCATAGTTTTCATGACGGACCAAGAGCCAGGGTTGTTTGCCTTCTGTTCGGACAAAATTCAGGGCTGGCTGAATTTTAGGAGGGTGCGCCTGCAGGGCGCCTGAGGAAAGGGGCTGTAAATCTGTAAAGGGAATCCCATCCAAGCCTGTGTCACAGTGGGGCCTGGAGGGATGCTAACCAAGGACAGAAAGACCCCCAGGGAAGGAAGGTTGGACTGGGCAAGTGAAAACTGTCTCATTTAGCTCTTGACAGTCTACTCCCTCAAAGCAGTCTGACAGATTTAATTATATAAAATGCTTGGCTGCCTTTAAAGCACGCTCCAGAGGCACAGGCTACAAGGTGGTTATTGTCACTGTAGAATTTTCCCTTATTTTTTAACTTAGGTTTCACAATTCATTATCTGAATCATTTTCATGTCCATTCAGTGCCTGGGAAAGGCCTCAGGCTTGGCTGTGCTCGAGACTGAATTCTGGGTAGCCACAAACCTCCTATCCCTCTAGGGCATCTTAACACATGCTCTAGGGGTGGTGATGGTCGGGTGTGGAGATGGTTAATTAGAGTGGCTCCAAGAACAGCTCTAATGAAAGCACCCGCAGCGTCTCGTGTATTCAGCATCCCATGCTTCAAAATGGCAATGGGGGTGCTTTAACTAAAGCTCATTGAACAAGCTTTAGTTAAAGCCCCCCCACTGGCATTTTGAAGCACAGGGATGCTGAATACATGAGATGCAGAGGCTACTGGAGCGTGCTACGGAGCACACTCCAGCAAACGCGATTCATTGATTAGGCATCTCAGTTAATGGAGTCTGCTCCAACGCGCTGTAATTAGTGTGTTAGCGTAGCATCCTCACATGTGTACAGACACCTCTAGTTTTCTTTAAACTTCTTGTCCTCATCTATAAATTCACCCATCCCCAGCATAGGTCCATGGTGTAGTGTCCTGCCACATCCCCTCTGTGCACTGGGACAGTCATTTTAAACTAAAATGAAAATCGTAGAGCTGAGAGTTGAATGAATTTTAGCACAAGTGACTATTAATCAGAAATCATTATTGCAAGTGCATGATTTGCTACAAATTATTTATCATTCATTATTCTCCTGTGCATCCAGTTTCAGTCATCTTGTCAAGGATCAGGCAAACTACCAAGCAATCTCATTGACTACAGGAAACACACAGAGTAACAAACAGCTTTAGGGCCTCTGTGCCACTCCCAAGAACAACCCCTCTGAAATGTAACCCAACTCCAAAGCCCCTGCAGGGCTGCTCTGAGCTGCCTGGGTTGGTATGGGCTGATCAGGAACATCTTTTGGTGCCCTGGGCAGGAGAGAAGCTGAGCTGCTGGTGCCATGGCACAGGTTCCCCCTTTAAAACAACACTCACTTTGGGTGCCCTCTCTGACTCAACACTTGGCACATTCCTAATCATGCTACTGGAGCAAGATGCTGGTAGGTGTTTGTCAATGGTAGCCCAGGATACAGCATAGAGGTAGTATGGGCATACCCTTTGTGAACAGTCTGTCAGGGCCAACAGGCTGAAATGGGTCTGTATAAATCAGCAGTGTTCAACCTTTTTATCTGGTGGACCCAATCGGCAATGCCCAGTCTGTCTGTGGGTCAGATGTAGCCAGTGTTCCCAATCTGGAACCCAGGTGGGCACAGAGGGCACCATCTGGAGTGGGGTGGGGGGCAGGCTAGCCCCAATATAGTCCCAGAGGGGAAGAAGCTTGATCTGACCCGTGGAGAGGGAAGGGGGCATGGCCTGGCCTTGTGGGGGAAGAGGACATGGCCAGGCCCAAATCCAGCCCTTCAGGGAGGGAAGGGGGCACGGCCCGACAGAAGCAGGGGGGTGTGGTTCAGTCCCATGGGTCACAGACTGGCCCAGTCCACCATGTGGGGCTTGGGAAGTTGGCAGGGAGGAGTGTGGCCATATTAATGGCTGCTGCTCCTCCGCTGCCAAATTTCCCAACCTGCGGGCCAGATGCTATGGCCCCATGGGCCACATGTCGCCTGTGGGCCAGAGGTTGAGCCCCCCTGGCATAAACTATTCACCAAATGTTTATCAACAAAACAGAAACAGGAACTAAGAAATGGGAAAGTAGGGGGAGGGAGGATTAAATTCACAACCATTACAGCTCACTGCCAAAATCTGGACAGCGTGAACTTTGGTCCTATTAACACTCACTCAGGCAATTTATTTCATGCAGACAACTCAAAAGCCATCAGACTAAAGACCCTGCTACATGTTCAAATGAAAACTGGATAAAAACCAGCAACAGAGTTGTTACACATCTTCAGGCACTTGCTTTATAGCTGGCTGGCTCTTTTTCTAGCTGGAGAATCATTTTTTATTGTGATAACTACTTAGCATGTGTGGCCAGTCTCAATTTATTATGCAATCTACCGGTTAATTGTGTGACAACTACTGTGCACTTCTGGCCGGTCTTAGTTTGAACAATTTATTGTGTGATTAACTAGTTAATTGCATAATATATGTAATGTGTAGCCAGGACTGAAGAACACTTATATCTAGTCTGCAAGTTCAGTCATTTTGTTCTGTGTGTGTATGCAGAGTGCCGGACTCAAATTGGAACCGGGTCCATGACTGTGCCCCTGAATGTGACTGCCATTCAAAGGAGTAGTAATGAGCAGAAGTTTCCTCTGCACAATTCTCTCTTCTGTGTGCTGGACAGAACCAAAAACATCCTCAGACCCCCAGAGTCCATACACCCACTGAGTCAGTACACAAAGTGAGGTCACGCTGCAATATCTCCAGAAACGGCCCATGGCTTGTGATTAAAAACATATGGACCTACCAGGTTTGCCTTCAGTCTGGACAGTCTGCTTGATAAATCCAAGATTGGCCTCTACTTTCCCAGTATAGGACTGCAGCTGGCAAGAGGCAGTGAGACTGGCTGTCCATGATTCAGCTGAAGTGCTGTTTACAATGATTTTCAAATCAATGGGGTTGCCCGGCCACAAAGATTTTTCACCATCTGTCTTCAGCTGGATCCCAGCTGTGAGTGGAGAAGAGGAGAGCCTAGCATCTACCATATCTGAACATCTGAGAAAGGAGCAAGCTTTTTCCATGGTTTTCCTTTCCTCTGATGACCCTGAATAACACAAAAAGAAAAAGCAAAGCTGAAGTCATAATAAATTGTGGATTATAGACTCTGCGGCCAGATCCAACTTCTCATTGTTTATCCTGCTGCTAAAATACAGATGGCACAACAGACCATGTTTCCTAGCAGGGATCACTCCATGTTCAATCTCAGAAGAGATACATGGCTATTTTAGTTTAAACAGTACCTGGGCCAAATTTTCAGAAGTAATTCATGATTTTTTGGGTTGCCAACCTGAGACACTTGAAAGCCTGATTTTAGAAGGTGGATTCTAAGCATTTGCTGGAAAATGTGCATCTTAAATTGGGTACTCAATAAAACACTAGTCTTTTTTGAAAATGTAAGCCACCACATTTAAACAATTTATGCATGAGAGAGGATGACCGCGTATCAGATCAATATATGCGATGACTGAAAAGTACAATAATGTGTTCAACTTAGTACGACATACACAAATTGAAGCTTGGAGAAGGTTCAAATATTTTTGGCTTTTGTCCGCAAGGACCTAGGTCTACAAGAGCAAATAAAGTTTTGTGAGACGAGAGATCAAATTGCAAAGTCTACACAAAACCGCTTTCCCCAAAGCTCTTTAGTTTTCCCAGTCCTGCCAATTCTCATGTGAGAGATTCCTATTGCCTATTGCAGTGAGTTTCTGGAAGTGTGGAAGGAGGAGCCTGCTTCTTGAAATAGGATATAATTTGTAGAAAGAAGAAGAAAGAGATGGAAGGAAATGGAGCAAGTTTGGATGAAGCAGAGTTTCTGAATCAGTAACTGGATCTGCTGCCTTGCATGCTGGCTACAGACAGTAGGTGTCACTACAGACATAATATTCATGTCTGGATTTTCCTAATTTCCTCACTACTTCTTCAGGTACTTTGCAAGACTTCAATACTGCATTCTTTAAATGCAGCCCATTGTTTTTCCACATTGATAAAGCATGTGGCTACTTTGGCTACCACAGAGTATCACGGGACTTCTGGCCTCATCGAATGCCTTACTCTACTATAGGATGTTAGAAAGATCTCAATTGCTGGTCACCTTCCAAGAACTTGTATTGAGCTGTGATGTCTTCCCGCATGTTTTTTCCAATGGCTTTGGTGCTGATGTTCTTCCCAATGGCTTTGGTCTCCTCGCGGAGCTTGATGTATTTGTCTTTGCCGGCTACATTCTTCACAAGCCAGTAAACCTTATCAGCATTCACTTCAGCAAATATAAACTTGGAGTCATAGGGCAAATAGACTTCTCCGCTTCTGATAGCTTTCAGTGGAGAAGGGCCACACTGGAAAATACCTAAAGGATATGAACATTACCTGTTTTTCACATGTATGAACTAAGCCTCCAGCATCATCCCCCTACTACATGCCCACAGTAGCACTGTCCTTCCTTATCCGTGCCTCCCAGCCTTGGTAACTGAATCTTGGCAATACATTTTCTCTATGATGGTCCTCCTTCTTTAAGGAGCACATTTCTGATGTGACAATATATACTTTGAACCAAAAGCACATATTTCAAAGGCCTGGCAAGAGCTTTTGTAAATTTTACTTAGAAGGGAATGGTCTTGCGTGCCTATACAAGTGCTCCAACACACGCTGATTACAACGCATAGGAGCAGACTTGAAGCAAGTCTGATGAAGACTTGCTTCATCAAGTCTGCTGCAGCATTCTCATCACAACGCTCCAGCACGCTGCAGTCGCATGTCTTCAGCGTCCCATGTTTCAAAATGGTGGTGGGGGCACTTTAACTGAAGCTCATCAAACATGCTTTAGTTAAAGTGCCCCAGTGACCGTTTTGAAATGTGGGATGCTAAATACATGAGAAACTGCAGTGTTTTAACTACGGTGGCTACCGAGAGCTACCCTAACTAAAATGCTCCCCCCTCCACCCCTAGTCCCAGAGCACACGTATAAGGGCAAGTGGATTCAGGGTACTTAGCTTCAAGGGCAAGTGGATTTAGGCTGCCTGAGTCAATTCCTGGCTCTGTCATTCACTCGCTGCCTGATTCTGATCAAGTCACTTCACCCAGTGTGTCCAACACAGGTAACACTGAAAATAATTTCAGTCACAGGCATATAGCCCCCAGCTGAGGTCACTCCTTCTCAGGGAAAAGGCACTGTATACATGGGAAACCCTGGGAGCTGTGCTCCCTCCTCCCACATTGTTTCTCTGGGGCCCAGGCAGAAACCTTGCAGGTCATGGCGCATTGGGACTTTTGAACTGGTCTTTGTAGATCTGCCTCCTGCCTACTGTGTGTTCCTCCCCACAAAGGAAAGCAGTATAACTGTGGTCTGATCAACCGCCAGAGCATTTGTTCTGTTGTTTGCAAAGATTCAATACGGAGAAGTTTTCCTACTGTCATGCAGCCTCTGTCTGCTTTCCTCGCGTCTAACAAACCTTACCATAGTGTCAATGTGGAACATTCCCCCCAGGATCAAGCAGCGGCTTTTTATGTCAATCCTACCTTGACTTATCTCTTGTGGAGTGGCATCGATTGCCTGCCAGCCATCAAAGCCCTCCGGCAGGTCTGACCTTTTCATCCACACATCATTCCACACGTGGAAATTCCTAGGTGCATTTAGATTGCAAAGTCAAAAAAATACATATTTACTTCCTGTAATGTACCATGCAAGTTCAACCTGCAGGACTTCAAATGTGGAGTGGAAAGTCTGACCACCTCTTGACAGGAAGATTCAGGGTCAGTTTTGAGCACTGACACTCATGCTCTTTTTTACAGCAGAGTTTTCTTTTGAAGAAAGTAAAAAACTCTTATTTAAATGACAGGGTACAATTAATACTGAGCTAAAGAGGGTGAACATTTGTGGGACTGTTTCATCTTTCTGTCATCCAGGGCCAGACTACAATACCTTACATACTTTGAAGGTTTGGTATACTTTAATCAGTAGTACCACTGATACCAGTTAGACTATGTGCAGGGTGATGTGAATATAGGGGTAGGGTCACAGTCTGGCCCTCTAACTGGGGAGAGGAAAGATAGATATGCAATTATGTAGCTGATGAGACAAGCATTGAACCCCGCATTCAAAGCCCATTGGCCTGCATCTCTATTGATTTAAACGGCTGTGGGTTCCTAAAGATGACTTCCTCAGTCTCTACAAATCAGTGAGGCTTGTGTGTGTATGGTAGTTTTGTCTGGACTACGTGATCATTGTTAAAAATGTTTCCTTTTACTGTTAAAAATATATGGCCTGATCAAATGCAAAGAGATTTTTTCCATTGACTTCCATGGACATTGGGTTAGGTCCTTTCTGCTCACAAGCAAAGTAGCATTTTCAAAGGCTGATAATGTAGCCAAATCAACCCCAGATTTCATCAAGTCACTCAAACACATTTATCTGGCACAAGGGCTCTTTTTCCTACTAAATATCAAATATCTAGCACCAACCACATGTGCACTAGAACCAAACAATGATTTTTTTTTATAATGAAAAAGGACTGTTTTTTCCCCTCCTTATGCACAGAAATGGATGAATTGTGTTTCCTTGTACTTTCCAGGACAATTCAACTTCAGGGAAAAAGAAAGAGATGGGAAATCTCAGCTTGGCAGGAAAAAAAACTGTGTAGCTCCAAAGGGAAACTTATAATGGAAATGCAGATCTGTTAGTGTTTCTGCCATAGTACAAACCCTGTCTATTCATCTCAGAAAATTCCCCTAGAGGGCACAATTAACTGGGGGATGCTTGCCCAGAACATTCCCACTTTCTCTTATTTTTCAACAACAAACTCGAAATAACAGAGACGCTTTAAAGCAAAAACCTGCCAGTGCTCTGAAACACTGGAAGCATTCAAGAGAACAGGAATTACTTAGCAACATTTAGACCTACCAGACAGAGTCTGTGGTCAGCTTGTCCACTTTTTCTCCACATTCATTCAGGAAGATGTCAACTTTCAGATTTTCCTGAGTATCGTGAGCTGAAGCAAAGTTACTCACACTTCTGGCAGGGATTCCCAGGCAGCGCATGACTGAAAGGCAGAGCAAACATTACCAGAAAGGACTGCTCAGAAGTTGCTCTACACCTGCTGTACTATGGTGAGGAACATCTACCCAATGCTAGAGTATCAGGCAAGAGAGACAAGACATGCCTTACCTGTAGTCAGAACTCCAGAGAAGACCCAACACTGGCCAAAACAGATGGGCTTTTTAGTTTTGTAATATTTCTGTAAAATTGTGGCACTTCCTGTCCAGGCCAATGGAGAGGTCCCACTACCATAATTTCCTGACCAGTTTCCAAACAGGACTCCTGCATCATCATTGGAATTAACCTGAAACATAAATGCACATACAGAAAACAAAGTCCACAAGTGATCCACAAGTGATCTGAGGAGGTTCCTCCTTCATCTGCACTTGCTCTATAAAACTGCCATAGCCACTCTTCATGTCTATGGCAGTTAGCAAGAATGTCTTACTATCACTAACTGGCTTCTCTCAGCCAAAAAAATCCAGGCTCAGAAAATCAGAGAGATGGTGTTATCACTGCCCAGGACAGCATTGGTTCTATTGTTATGAAAGGAATCATGTCATGGAAAATGGCTGCTTTGCTAATCCTTCACACCTATCAAAGGCCCCACTCCTCAGCCAACAGTTTCAGGACAGTAGCCATGAGTAAGAGAGAACTAGCCACCTGATGCTGGATGTTACATCCAGCTGCCTTTTCCCTTGCTGCAGCTTTCTCAGACCCTCCTTTATGCACTGACAAGCAGGAGGAGGTATGGAATGGTGTTCTAAATGCTAGAGACCAAAAAAAAGTGGGAAGATGGGACAATCTATTTTGTAGGTTAAGCTTTAAAAAAAAAAAGAGTCAATGGCAAACCTCTTTTGACAAAGAACCATACCAAAGCAGACATGGTCCTGGACACAGTCACGGGATCCTTTCTGAAGTTTTGCTTGAGTCCACTTTTGTCTAGGAGATACATACAGGAGTCCAAGACATCTTCCTCGAACTGTTTTGGAGAGAAACAAGGACTCTTATCTTACTACTCTGAATCACAAATTGCCTCAAATTGATCAACTGATTTCAGTTTAATTTCTGAACAAAACTATATGATAGGCATTAAATTAACCTCTAAACCTTCTTTAGGATATCAAATGATGGTAATGCTCACGAAAGGCCTAGAGACCAAAATCTTTTGGTCATTAGTAGAACAGGACAAGTTTCCTAATGCTGCCTCTCCTCTACCTTAAGCCTCAAGTAGGAAGGTCATCTATGAGGGAAAGGTACAGATCTGTCACCATGTGTAGATAGATAGGACATATTCTAGAAATCCACAGTCAAATAAGTAGCCCTTGGTCACATGCACAATTGGAGAGAGGTCAATGGGACTACCGGCATGAGTAAGAAAAGCCTGGATGAGTAAGTGGAGCATGAACAAATCTTTGTTGCAACATCTCTGTATGTATTTGGCATGATAGAAGGTGTTGTATAAAGCAGATGCTGAAGAAAAAGAGAAGACAAGCACAGTTTGTTCCAGCCTACTAAACAAGTATCTATAAAACTTCTGAGAATCTAATTCACATAGAAATTAAATGAAAGGCTAATATAACTTGACACAACCACAAATAAGTGATTCAGCTTTGACTGAAATTTTCCCTGTTTATTAACAGAATAAGTTCCAGGATATGGACAGCTCTTTGAACAATGCTATAGCTATCGGTCACACTTAACATAGAAAACTTTGATATGGCATTTAGATCAGGCTTTGCTATACTGCATTTGTGAAATTGCAGCATTTGTGAAAAAGCACCAACAGCAAGAGATATCTGCCTGTATACTGTTCTTACTCTGCAGGTGCATCTATTAATGTGAATGAATAAACTCTGGTGCAGTTTGCGCCAGAGTTTATTGCTCCTAGGCACTGCATTTACATGTACACTCAGGACCTTAGCATGCTGAGCTGGAGCAGAGCAGCCCTGGCTGGCAGGGGACCCTGGGGTCAGCCTGCCAGCCCGGGGCTGTTCCAACTTGGCTCAACATGCTGCGGGCACGAGGGTGCTCTAGTACAGGGCTAGCTGGCAGGCAGTCCCTGCACTGAAGCACCCTCATGCCCCAGCCATTCCTGTCTCTGTCTACATGTGTATTGTGCCAGACTAAAGAATGCTGCCACAGGATAGTACTTGTATTTACAAGAAATAACCTATGGCAGCCTTTATTCGTTTTTTGCCCTAATAGGTCTGCACGTATAGACTGAGAAACTTCACTGAAAAGCTCATTCGTCAGCTCCACAGTACATGTTTCATGTGGATGTGCCCAGTGTGTGTGTAATTGCCCTCTACTGGATTAAATTAAACCTGCCCCATTATCTATTACTATGCTGTTTTAATTTCTGGAGTGAGTGTAGAGGTCAAGATACCAGACAGAGCACTAGGGATCAAAGCTCTCTCTCTCTACCCATAATACACACACGATTTCCCACATTACTTTCCTAATGGTACCTCTCAGCTGTCCTAGGAGGATAAAATTTCTGGGAGAGAAGGCTGAACAGACATCTTTGTCTGCTCAGTCTAGTTAATTGGTGGATCTGGTTAATTAGTGAATTTGACACAGATGAGATCCTCAAACATTTGAGGCCTACTTCTCCTTTTTCTTATACTGATATAATGGGCTGAAGGATCAGGCATGTTATTTCTTAATGTTCCATGGACTTCACCACATTAGTAACGAACACTTTTTAAGACTGTCTGTCTGTCTTAGAATCTTATATTTCTATCCATCATAGCGGTATCGTAACAGCTTTGTATGTGAAATGGATGCAATAATGGGATCTCTAGTGGATAACATGGAGTTTTGGAAAAAGGCTTTTGCTTTTGATTTGTTAGGTTTCTTTAATTACCTTTATTAAAAAAAGATTATGAGGCAGAGGGCTAGTAAGTGGTGGAAGATGTGTTATGAGTGTCATTCTCATGGTAGAATGGCCCTTTTCGGAGAGACCTTCCTAAAGGTTCTGGATTTACCTAGGGTCCTGTAAAGATTGTCTCTAGTTCTCAAATGCTTCATTTTGGGGGCTGTGATCTGATGATAAACCTACCACAGAACTCCATTCTCATGCCCTGACTGAAAAAGGCACTTAAGCATATGTATTATATTAAGTGTGTGAGTATGCCTCATTGAAATCAATAGGACTAATCACACGGTTTGAATTATGCATGTGCTTAAGTAGCTTCCTGAACATAATGATGGGTCTAACTTATTGGAATAGCACCACAACACCTGCTTACATCAAGTGGAGGAGCTTGTATTAATACAGAAACAATCCTTATTTTTACCTGCCCAAAGTTCCAGGGTTTCTCAAATATTTTTTCTGATGATCCAACATAGAGGTAGCCTGTGTCATTGAGAACATACTCCAGCCTTTCAGCATCGCTAGGCATGAAAACGGCATCAGCTGAAACAAACACACAGACATATTACTTGATTTTCACTCACACGGTCAAAAACTTTTCAAAGGTCAACCAACTGTTCCAAAATAATGACAGAACAATGTTCAGATATAAGTCCTGACTGACCTTTCCTTTCTTTCTGCCTTGAAAATGAAATACCTATTCACAATGAACTCTGTCATTGTTTTATTCCCATTGGTGAGCGTGTGCTCATAAAAGCAGTCACACTGACTTAAAAGGGCTAGCACTGTGAGTACTACATGCCAGTGAATAAGGAATCCCAACGTTCTTCCTAAATATTACTGGCTTAAGATTTCTGTGGGGAAGGCTTGCAGATTTGGGTCTCAGTGTTTAAAGGAGAAAGATACCAACATATTGAGAATAAATAAGGAAAATGTAAGGAAAGTACCTCCCCCAAACAGACTTACCTAGCAGTAATTCTAATCCCATTAGCAATAAGTCATTTGCTTTACCTTTACACCAAGGGTTGAACAACAAGTAGACAGTGTTTCCAGGTTTATAAACATCAGCTCCAGTTTTCACACACAAAAGGTATTTTCCAATAGCTGCATCTGCTGGACTGGCCACAGTAACCAGGCACTAGGTAAATCACAAGACAGATGATTATATATCATATTGTCCCTCTTAAGTGTGAATGAATGTGAAGCTGAGATTTTTTTATTATTATTAATATATTTCATGTTCCAGGTCAAATCAGTTCCAAATCGTGTCGACTAAGTAGAACTCAATCATTCCAAAAACCCATATTGGTTGAGCAGGCAGACCTCAATCATTCTAAACACCATGTATGGCGCTGCAACCAGCGAGCATCCTTCATCCCAGGCTCTCACCCTGGGACTTCAGATACTTCCCAATCCATTGGCAGGCATCCTACATGCTGGCCCATGCCCAGAGGTCTTGAGATTTGGATGCCCCAGCCAGACACTTGATCTGAACCAAAAGGCCAAGAAGCAATTTTACAGTGAGCAATTAATCTTGTTAAGTCTGTGGCATGTGCTGCAGGGAGAAAGGGAGGGCATGGGGGATGAGTCAACTTTTATACATATAGCAAGACAGCAGTAAATGAAATGGGACTCCATTGCTCATTTAAAGCTGTTGAGCAGAGGGGAAAATGGTGGCAGAAGCCAGTTCAGAGCTCCAAGTACTCCTCCCATCATTGGCGATGCATAGGTGGTGCATGCGGGTGCATGTGCACCCCCTGAGCATGGCGGTGCACCCCCTGCAAAAAGGCACCACTGACACTGCTGGCGGCGCCCCCCACCCCAGTCACTGACAGTGGCATCTGTGGGCAGTCCGCGATCACCACTGGCCGCTGCTGATGCTGCCGGTTGGGTCTGCGGGTGGTTGCCAGTCCCCCCTCCCCCCCACCAACAGCACTGCGGCTGCCTGCAGGAGCTTTCCGCTTGCTGCCACCATGCTCCTGCCGCCAACAGCACCACTGCCGCTGCCTGCAGGAGTTTGCCGTGCCCAAACAGCCTCTGGGGGCATGCGGCATTCATGCCTTCCACCCCACACCCCTGATCAACTCTTCCCAAGTTAGTGACTCTTTTCCAGGCACGGAGGGGGCCTGAGCACAGCTTGAAGTCTGTTGACCCAGCTCCTCTCTCCACCCATCTGTACCAGAAGGGAGCCTACATGGACTGGCAGAAAGCTTTCTTTCTTTTCTCAAGGATAAGAAGCTTCTTGCAGCCCCTTCAGACCTTGGTGGGCCCAGAGCATCCACTGGAAAACTGAAGCAACATTTGCCAATTCAGTTAACAAGGGATAAGATAATCTACCTCCTTTCCATTGGTGTTAGCAATCTTGGCAGACCAGCACTGAGAGTCTTGTTGAGACCTCAAGGTCATTGCCACCAGGGTTCCACTGGATTTCATTGGTTTATCACCTGAAAGTATAGCAAGAACAAAATACATACAAGGGGTATCAGCATGTGTGGAGACTGTAGTGTCTAATGGTTAAAGTGGTGTCTGTGAGTCAGGACTATTCAGTTTTACTTCTAGTCCTCATGCTTTGACGTATCCTCTAATTATGAACTACTGAGAAAAACTGAGTCTCTACCGCAGGGGCAGCACTAGTCTCTTCCCACTGCGGAGCTGGGCTGGGGTTGGGAGCACTGTGCCTCTTTGGGCTGCGGGCAGGAGTGGGGTAGGCTTAGCTGCGTGGCATGGGCAGGTGGCAGTGGCAGTGCTGGGATGGGTGGCTACAGGGGGGCTAAGGTGAATTTTGGGGTGGCTATAGCCTCCCAAGCCCACCTCTAGCACTGCCCCTGCTCCACCATAATGATGTATTTTAAAAGCTGGCTAGATACACTATTGCCTTCCTTCATCCTCACCTGAAGCATCTGACAATTGCTGGCAAGGAGACAAGACACCATGCCAGCCTGCTCGGGTTAATCTGTCCTACTTGGCAAGTCCCATATTGCTAAACATACCATTAGGAATTATGATCTTACCAAAACTGAACTGCAGCCCCACTTTGTCATTGTCTTTCAGCTCTCTGTCAAACATCAGTTTCAGCTGAAACTCCTGTCCACGTCTTACAATCAGACTTTTATTGTCGTATGCATCAGTGTGGTGAAGACGGGCATTTTGCCATTTGAGTAAATCAACTCCAAGGGTCTGGAGTTGGTTCTCTGAAAACAATGTGCAGCAGAGAGAAAGAGAAAAAGGGTTGGTGTTCAAACATTTCTAAAAGGAAAATTCCAGCCAGTTCTACTCTGTACAGTGTTAAATAACAAAAGCAAATAAGTGTCGCTTCTGGGAAAGACCTCTCCAACCATCTGTGTGTCTAGTGATTCAGTGCAAACAAACTTCAACATTAAGAACAACAAGAACTCTTTAGGATCTCAAATTGGGTTTTTCCCTGGACACTGCTGAAACTGCTCAAGATCTAAGGCAAAACAGACTAGAAATAACATCGAAACATAAATCTGTCATTGCCCATTGCCAATTGTGAACAAAAGAAACAAAGTGAACAAGCAATATCAACAGAGACAAATACACCAGAGGCATAGACTCTCTTCAGTTTTGTTAATATAGGAATTCGCTGATAAGAGAGTATAACAACACTACAGTCATAAAGGGCCCAGTTCATCTCTGCACCCAACAGGAGAAACAAAGGTAACTTTATGCCACAATGGGCGCATCTACACGTTCCCCTATGACGACATTGTTACTGCGTCATGCTTTAGTACTTTCTTTGGGCGCATACTGCACTGTATGCCGGGCGCATGGTTATTTTTAGCCGCTACTTTGCCGTAGTGGGCCACTACAATGAGGGAGCGCACCACTACGATAAAGTAGCTGCTGGTCACGTGTAGATGCATGTGGTCGCTACGTCACCATAACGCATCATTACAGCGACATGATGTCATGTGTAGACATGCCCTTTGAGTCTGTGTAATGCAGATGTGTTTTGACCAGCACAGAAGCCCTTCAGCCATTCCATTATCCTATTAGGAATATTCCTTATGTCTCTTGAGTAGGAAGCTGCTGATCCCAACACTGTGCTACCCAGGGGCAACCTCTATTTCACAGAAATTCCTCAGGGCAGTGTCAGTGTAAAGGGACTGCAATACCAGGATGAACTGCACCCAAATAACATAACTGGCATCTAAGCAGCAAACATGCTGCATCAGGAGAACCAAAGGCATTCACTTCCAGAAACACCACATGGATTAAGCTTGTGCTGCTCCTTTAGCTCTGCTTGGAGAGGTCATGATTTTTGGACCTGAAGATGGACCCAGGTATTCATGTTCTAAGGTGATATTTTGGGTGGTTAGGCAGACAGATTCACTCCTGATGTCAGATGTGTGCAGGTTAGTTGGCAATTGTGATGTTTGTGCCTATTGATTCATTACAGGAGATAATACAGTTTTGAAGCCTGGTTTTGATTCCATGCTATATTTACGTTTGTCTTACTCAGAACAGCAAGACATTTAAGACCCAACAAAACTCAACGGCTGAAAGATAAAGCCAGTTAAATTTAAATTAGAAGCAAAGCATGAATTCCTAGCAGTAAGAGTGAACAGACACAATGGGTTTTGATAATGTAAGGGCCAGAGACAGAGGTTGGAAGCCAGTCTGAGATTGTGGAATGAATTCCCATAGGAACTAAGGACTGTCACTAATCTGTACTCCAAATAGAAGGTGCATTACTTTCACCTTGCATTGTGTAATGTAAACATAGAGCAACATGGAAATACATATGAAAAATAAATTCCCATAGCAAACACTGCATGCCATGCACTTTTTCCCAGAGAGAAGATGAGGGAAAACAGCATGTAGTAGCTGGTAGTCAGATTGCTTACTGCACTATTGTAAGGTGCTCAGGCACTGTTGTGATGAACTCAATACGGGGATCTACACAGAATAGAATGGAATATTACCCTGGCTTTCCAAAATACTCAGTTCCTTGTTTTCTGTGATGTGCTTCCTTTTCTCCTCCATTACACAAAAGCAGTGATTAATGGTTCAGGATTTTTATTCTTTGTTCTTTTGTTCTTTAAAAAAAAATCCCGTGTAAACAGAAACAGGGATAATGTCACTGGGCACGTCTACATGTGCAGTTACTTCAAAGTAATACACTCCGGTGCATATCATGCCAGAGTTTATTGTTCCCAAGTGCACAATTTGAACATGTGCCTAGGACTGCAGCATGTAGAGCTGGGTTGCTGCAGCCTCAGCTGGCAGCCATAGCTGCCAGCCCAGGGCCGCTTCAACCTGGCTCAATGTGCTGCGGAGGGGCTGACAATGTTGGGGCCCAAGGGGCCTAGCCCCCTTGGGGAAGAGGGCTGTCATCTGAAATGCATAAAACATCACGTGCAGTTGTGCACTAAAAACTCTGCTGCAGGGTAGCACATGTATTTACAAGTGCAATCCTGCTTCAGAGTTTAGTTTCCTGCAGCCTAATAGGGCCACATGTGTAGATGCTGAGTTGTTTACTGCAGAGGTAATTAGGCAGCTCCACAGTAAACGTCTCATGTAGTAGCACCCATTGATACCTAACTTGCTCCCTTACCGCACAAACATTTGCCTCATTTACTTCCTGCACGTGTATAACTTAGCCTAAGAGAATCATTCCGCTTTGTGTGGATTTTATTTCAAGATAATTTACCTTCAGGCAGGAACTACCATTAAAACTGTACTTTGTACAGCACCAAATGTATAATTAGTGCTTACTGAATAGTAATTAATAGCAACATTAGATGTCCCATTACAACATAGCATTTTGGCTGCTATAATTTAGAATTTTGTGTCCAATCCTGCTGGGAGGTGAAGTGTCAGCAGTTAAAGATGAATTAAATTGTGCTGAAGCCACTAAGACCATGGAAATGGGATCCTTCAGGCCATGGCAAAATGTGCTTAGCCCTTGTCAGGATCGGATGCGTATACATTTTTTTTATCATCATCATCATCACTAACACCACCATCACATCTCTTTGTGGGGTTTGTAGTAGTAGATTTCATAAACATCAGGGCTGGAAGGGACCTTGTGAGATCATCAGGTCCAACCCCCTGCCCAAGGGACAGGAAGTCAGTTGGTGTCAGATCACCCCAGCAAGATAAGCATCCAAGCATTTCTTAAATTGCTTAATTTCTTAAATTTCCAGAGTATGTTCTAGCACCACTTCCAGGGGGTAGTCTATTCCAGGTTCTGGAGACTCAGATGGTAAAGAAGTTTTTTCTTATGTCCAGTCTAAAATGGTCTTCCAGCAGTTTGTGACTGTTAGACTTTGTCTTCCCTTGGGGTGCCCTGGTGAACAGACCTTTACCTAGACCCTGATGCACACCCCTGATATACTTATAGGCTGCCACTAAGTCACCCCTGAGCCTTCGCTTCTCCAGGCTGAAAAGTCCCATGCCCCTCAGCCTCTCCTCATAAGGCCTGCTCTCTTGACCTCTAATCATGCGCGTAGCTCACCTCTGGACTCCCTCAAGCTTCTCCACATCCTTTCTAAAGTGTGGAGCCCAGAACTGGATGCAGCACTCCACCTGCAGCCTCATCAAGGCTGAGTAAAGCAAGTGGATGACTTCTTGGGTCTTGCCTGAGATGCACTGGTAGTGAAGAACTGAATAAGAATGTCAGCAGAAGAACACTTAACTAACCGAGAAGCCAAGGAAGCTGCAGAGCAAAGAAGCAGTTTGATATGTGTATTAGCAAACTGGAGTTGTGGACACTGCATTTCTGGGTACAGTGTTAAACTTTAGGGATGAAATTCTGAGTATACTCAATATAAAAAAGGGTTGGCTGCTGGAACGCAGTATGCCAGTCACTTCCAGTCCACGGTTTGTTGCTCTGTGGTCACTTCTGGTCCATGGCAGCCAACCCTCCTGAGGACTGGCAGCCAACCCTTTGCAGCCCGGTACAGAGCCACAGCCCAGGGGTTGGGAACCCCTGGCCTAGTCTGCCAGGAAACAGTTTAAGTTAGCACAACATACCAGCTGTTAATACAATTTCACTCTGCAGGTCAAGTGTTATGCACAGCCTAGGTGCTCTTATCCGAGGTAGGCACCTCAAGAAGAGTGAGACCTCACCTGTCAGTCTCACCTCCATCCTCGGCAAAATCTTTGAAAAAATTATCAAGGCTCACATTTGCGAGAGCCCGGCAGGACAAATTATGCTGAGGGGAAACCAGCGCGGGTTCATAGCAGGCAGATCGTGCCTGACTAATCTAGTCTCTTTTTATGACCAGGTTACGAAACGC